GGGACACCTGGTGGTTAAAGCATGTTATTGAATTGTATTATTTTATTTTTAGATATTAATAGGAGGATGTGCAAAACAGAGAAACAATAATGTTTAAAGAGCATCTTGCAGGTTTTTTTTTTTTCTACATTTATGCTTAAACTTGCTTGAAAATTACAATTAAAAAAGTGAATGTAGGATTTGATATGTTTTACGAGACATAAGGGCAGGAATTCAGAGGGAAAGGAGCAATTTTGAGCTCTGCTCTTAAAAACTGCCTTTTTTTAAGCTAATACGTCAAACGCGTCATATTAGATCACAAAGGGGACACATCTCCGCTCTCTGACCGCGGGAATAGTTAGCAGTTGCATTGAGCAGTTCTGTTTAAGTGATTTGGTATTTTTCGGTAGTTTTACATTGTATTTCACCATTTGTAATCATGGTGCAGTATTGTGTTTGTGCAGCCTGTCAGGACATCGAGTCCACTATTTCCCTCACAGGAAAAGAAAGCTAGCTAGCTTTCGGTCCTGGGTTCGTTTTGTGCAGACAAAGAGACGGGACTTCAATGCTCCCCCCGTTCGCTGTGTATACATCATTTTCCTACACATTTATTCACAGGTGTCTTTAACCAGGAAGTTGCTCTTTAAGTAATAATTTATGAAGAAATGGGGAAAAAAGCTTACATTTTTTTTATGAATTGTCTTCCATTTCATTGCAGTGTGAATATTTTGTATTCAACTTCCAACCAGAGCATGGATACCAAATTCTTTATTTTGTCAAATTGGGATTTTCATCAAAAGAAGTGTGGTCAGAAAATAAATCTATTTCAAAGTTCAGCTGCGTGAAATAATGTTCTGATTCTGCAGGCTTCAGTGCACAGACTCATTTAACACAATACCAACTCTATAATAAATACGTTTGATTCAGAATTAGCTGCACAGCTCTTCCATTTTCTTGCATTTCTTTTTGTGGTTACTTATGTAGCTGTAAACCCAATTCTGATTCTGAATAAACAATCAGCCTACTGCATTCAAATTAAGATCCTAAAAATAATTAACTAAAAGTCAAAGTTCAAGGGGTAACAAAGTCATGCATGTTTTGTTCTTATTTTTTTAATTCTGAATCTGAATAATTAGCCTATTGTATTTGAAGTTTAAGATCCAGACTAAATTGAACATATATCATTTGAAACTAGTTCCTAAAGGTCTGTGTCATGCTTCAATTATAAAGGGATGATGAAGGGGGTTCAAAGTCATGCATGTTTTGTTGTTGTTTTTTAACCCCTTACCCTCCCACTCCAGCTCGTTGCCGTTGGTGATGAATTCCAGAGAGTCCGTCTCGTCCGGCGTGTCCATGTCGTCCACGTTGATGTCCAGGTCGTCCGGCGTGTCCAGGAAGTCGTCCGACAGCAGAGAGCCTTCGCTGCGGTCCAGAGACAGATTCATTTCCGGGGCAATCAGGGTCCGCCGTTTACGGGACGAAGAAACGCCTCCTCCTCCTCCTCCTCCTCCTCCTCCTCCTCCAGGGGGAGAAACATCCAGGGAGAGAGCTGCAGGGAGACCAGAAGATCAGGAAAAACTCAAAGTAAATGTGAGTTATCTCAAGTGTGATGGAAACTTCTGAAGCAATTGGAAACAGGACTCAGAGAGACACGGAGAGAGCTGGAACTTTGATGGCAAACACTGATGGTTTATTTGGAGCTTCGGCCGGAGAATTCACAAAACATGTGTTGTGCCACGAGTTGACAAACCAATTCTGAAGATCTCTACCCCTGACCCATGTATTTAGCTGGTTCTGAGAGAAGAATCAACATTGTGCACATTAAGATCAAACCATAACATCTCTATCAGCTGAGGAATATGGAGACGAATCACTGAGAGCACGGTAGCCCATGGTTACAGGCCTGAGCTCAGTACAAACTGATAAACTGGGTCAAAGTTATGGGCGCAGGAAAATATTTCCCCAACATCAAGAAATACATGTAATCATATTTAGAAACTGTTCCGTTTAATCAGAAAGCTATATGTTACTCTGATTATGACCTCGGAAGGGGGAGATAGTATTGTTTTTATTTGTAAGCGTTCTATTTGTTTGGTTTGTGAAGCACTTTGAGTTACCTATCGTGCTATATAAATAAACTTGAATTTGATTTGATTGGTATTTTTACATTTCATTTCCATTTTCTGTTTAAACGTATGCTCTACATGCATTTGATAAATGTAGTTACTATACATATTTAGATTAATTACACACAATGTAATTAACAAATGAAATATCCTGCATTGATATAGGTTAAGATATTCATTTATTTGTTGGTGAAATATAAAAGCCACCTGGCAGTAAAGGTAGTAAAAAAAAAAAAAATAAATATCTTTTATCAGCTGCAACATTTAAGTAGTCAACAAATGAATGCATCCATATCATTTTATTAATATTAAACCATTGATAATTTAACATTTTATAAAACAAGACCATTTATTTTAAACCAAGGTAAATAACTGTCTGATAATTGGTGTATTTAATCTATGTATGTTTATGTAGTTTAATTGAGGGGCATTATCTGCTGGCATGTGACTGATTGTTTACGCCCTTTTATTTAAAAAATATTTTGAGCTTTTCTATACCAAGTTTCTCCATTGGGTATCTTTGCTGTTGTTAACTTCTTCAGTGTGACGTTAACCCACCACTGCTCATAAATCAGGGTTATAATGTCTTCCTCTTACTGACCCTCCTCTCCTCAGTGTTCTACTCACAGTTTCTGTCGTCTGTGAGACCGCAGGACGGGTCCATGTCTCCGTACTCTGGGAGGGGTCTGCAGGGAAAACACACACAGGTGAGCACCCAATACTGAGCCTTTTGAAGATAACATTTAAAGCAAAGTATATCTTTTTGAGTCAAATTAAAAATATATAGTCAAGATGCTGCAGACAGCCGAGGTTTAGCAGGACAACCATGACTCTTAAAATGGTAAATGGTAAATGGACTGTACTTATATAGCGCTTTATCCAGTCTTTAAGACCCCTCAAAGCACTTTACATACTACATGTCATTCACCCATTCACACCCATTCATACAGAGCAGTGTACTATCCCATTTACTGATCTTTGTTTTACAGGATGCATTAAGCCTCTTTTAGATTGCAGACCTTTCCGCATGGTATAGCAACATTTTGAGGACATTTAACCCCAAA